CATATTACTTGAAGGGACTGTTCGAAAGAAAAATCGCAACAATTATATTACTCCCAGCTAGGTATATGGGGCTAAAAATTTTGAATACTACCAACTCTCAAAAAGCTGTAAATTTGGACTATGATTTCCCTCATCCCAATGTTATTATCAACATTGGGCCAACATGACCTCCAGTTTTGGAAATTAAAAAAGTAAATAAATAAATAAAATAAAATAAAATAACATTGGTTATCTTAATCTTAAAAAAAACCGAATATAGCTATTATATTAGGGTCTATAAGAAGACGTGGACCTGCATAGACAACTTTTGTCATAAGCCATTATCAAATTCAAATACGAAACCCGAAAAAATCATCAAAATGCCGAATACCGAATATAGGGAGGTACCGTTATATCGGGGCTATACGAAGACCTAAACCTACGTAGACAATTTTCTTTCACAGGCTGTAGTACCTATTAAGAACAAAAAAATACGAAATTTCAACCAATTTGGGAGAATGTTGTACCTAAAATCGTCAAAATACCGAATATAAGGAGGTGCTGATATAAGGGGTCTATAGTAAGACTGGAACGTTATATCGGGGATATACGAAGACCTGAACATAGACAATTTTCTGTCACAAGCTGTAGTACCTATTAACAACATCAAATACGAAATTTCAACCAATTTGGGAGAATGTTGTACCTAAAATCGTCAAAATACCGAATGTAGGGAAGTGCTGATATATGAGGTCTATACGAAGACTGTAGTCCGGCGAATAATGTCGCTAAAATCATTAAAATACCAAATATTCGGAGGTACCGTTATATGGGGGCTATACGATGACGTGGGCCTTTATACGTCTTTAGGCTGTAGTACCCATTACGAATTCCAAATACGAAATTTGAAACAACTTCTGTGAAAAAGTCAAAATATCGAATATCGGGGCCTATCGTTATATATGGGCTATCCGATATCGTGGACCTTTATAGACATTTCTCTTTCAGGGGGTAAAGTGCTTAAAAAGAACTTCTAGTATGGATTTTCAGACAATTCCACAAAAAAAATGTAGCTAAAATACCGAATATAGGGAGGTACCGTTATGTGGGGGATATATAATATCGTGGACCTATATAAACAATACTCTTCCAGGGGGTGAAGTACTCAGAAGGAACTCCTTTTGTAGATTTTCAGGTAATTTCATTAAAATTTTTGGTTACAATAATCAAAATACCGAATATCGGAGGGAGGGGGTGGGGGTTACCGTTATATGGGGGCTATACTATATCGTCAACCGATATAGCCCATCTTTGAACTTGACCTGCATGTGAAAAATTTTAGCTTCCTATCTTTATACATTTTGACTATAGCATGATTACAACACACGAACAGACGGACGGGCAGGGCTAAATCGACTTAGAATTTTATCAAGAATATATATACTTTGTTATGCCTAAAATTATTATTTCGATGAGTTACAAATGGAATGTCGAACTCCATGCTATGTATGGTAGAGGGTATAAAAATTGTGTACAGAAATATATCTACAACCCTGGATTTAGGCCTCAATTTCGTATAGATTTGCAAATACCATTTTCACATTTGGAAGATGATTATGAATTGTATAGTCATTATGAAGTTTATATCATTTAATAAATGCCTAAAAGTATGCAACATTATTCTAAGATGTGGTGTTGAATGCATTAACCAATAAACAATCGGTTTGGCGAAAGATGTATGTACTCAACATATGGTGATTATATATATATATATATATATATATATATATATATATATATATATATATAATAGATATAATCCAAAATATTCTGGAAATAGCATTTTGTAAAAAAATCTTAAATATATTCTTAAAAAAATAATGCACTTTTGCCGAATTGTTTTCTTTTTTTAATTATCTGAAAGAAGTTGGACCTGCGATATGAGTATTACAATGATGACCTTAATTAGAATGGTACTAAGGTGCGTAACTGACCTAAACCAGACATAAATATTACAACAGTCGAATTTGGACTATATCGAGCACTTCCTTCACTTTGTATGAGATTCGTGATAATATTTGGAAAATGTTGAAATGTGCTTCGTCTAATGTTGATTAAAATATTGCGATGAGCAAAATTTAAAGGAAATCGAACATTTATTGCCAATTTTAATCGAACAATTGCTAATTTTTAAATCAACATTTTATCCGTTTGGCTGGAGATCCCAGAGGGAATGGGCTAATATATTCCATATTCACATCAGATCTCTGGTTGAGTGAAATATTTAGATACAAAGAAGTTAAAAAACAGTAAATTCGGCCGGGCCGAACTTTGAATACCCTCCATCATTTGGAATGAAATTGGAAATTTTTAAAAAATAAAATCCTTAAAAATTCTGTTTAAATTTTAAAAATACCGAATATGGCCGTTTTATTGGGGTCTTATGACGTGGACCTACAAAGGCATTGTTTGTCATAAGCCATTACCATATTAAAATCCGATAACTTGAAATATACGGCGAATAATGTAGCTAAAATCATCAAAATATCGTATATAGGGAGGTACCGTTATATCGGAGCTGTGTGAAGACCTGGCCAGCCAGACAATTTTCTGTCAGAGGCTGTAGCATCCATTACGAAGTTTAAACGACATCTCAAACAATATCGGTGGGTATTGTACCTAAACTCGTCAAAATACCGAATATGGGGAGGTACTGATATATGGGGCCTATACGAAGACGTGGACCCGCACAGACAATTTTCTGTCATAGGCTGTAGTATCCATTACGAACTTCAAATACCAAATTTTAAACAATTCCGGCGAATAATGTCGCTAAAATCATCAAAATACCGAATATAGGGAGGTACTGATATATGGAAGACGTGGACCTGCACAGTAATTTTTCTGTCTTAGGCTATACTATACCTTTGGAACTTCAAATATCAAATTTAAAACAATTCCGGTGAATAATGTCGCTAAAATCATCAAAATAGCGAATATAGGGAGGTACAGTTATATGGGGATTATAGGAAGACATGGACCTGCACAGACAATTTTCAGTCTTAGGCTGTAGTATTCATTACGAACTTCAAATACCAAATTTGAAACAATTCCGGTGAATAATGACGCTAAAATCATCAAAATACCGAATATCGGGAGGAACCGTTATATGGGGGCTATACGACGACGTAGACCTGCACAGACAATTTTCTGTCATAGACTGTAGTATCCATTACAAACTTCAAATACCAAATTTTAAACCATTCCGGTGAATAATGACGCTAAAATAATCAAAATACCGAGTATTCGGAGGTACCGCTATATGGGGTCTATATGAAAACGTGGACCTATATGGCCCATTTACGAACTTAACCGGCCTACTGGAAAAATGAACATGTGTGCAAAATTGTAGCCTTCTCACAAAGTTAATATACCCTCCATATTATGGCGGAGGGTATAAAAAGGAGCGCTGAATTGTTTGAGGTACCAGAAGGAGTGGGTGGATAAATATTATGATCACACCAGATCTTGTATTGGAAGAAATATTGGGATGTGTGAAATTTCAAGAATTGTAACCCCTTCTGGGGGAGGTGCCAGAAAGAGGTGGAACGATATAGCCCACCTTTACACCATGCCTTGTGTTAATAAAACTATTGTGATTTATGAAGAATTATAAAATCGGATGCTTATTTCGCGTTTCAGAGAAGAGAAGTGAGTATTCAAAGTTATGACCCGTTGGGTGGAGGTATAAGAAGGAGTCGCCCGGTTTATTATATCTTCACACAACATCTTGTGTTGATAGGAATATTGGGACGTGCCGAATTCGAAAGGAATCAAATGCTCAGTTCGGATTTTCAGAGCTTCTTGATTATTTAGAATTATAACTCTTTGTTGGGGAGGTTCTTCTTCTTCTTCATATCAGACCTAGAATTGTTGGAAATATGTATTATGATATACGAAATTTCAAGAAAATTGGACTCCTATTTCACATTTTATGGGCGTTAAGATTATTCAAAAATTTGGCCCTTTGTGAAGGAGTTACGAGAAGAAAATATTAGGATTTCCAAGGTTCCTTTCTAGTTCCATGAGATAAATTATTTTCTGTGAAAATTTTCACTTTTTGAGGGAAGCTACCAGAAGGAGGGAATCGATATAGCCCAAATACGAACTGCCTTCGACAGTTATCCTGCGGAGTACCAACATCGACTTCAAATACCCTAAAACAGATTTGATGCAAAGAAACCTAGGCTGTTTTGAATATGGTAGATATCGGATCATTTCTTCCAGTACCTCCCCTACAAAGGGTCCACTTCTTCTTGTACCACCCCCCTACAAAGGATCAAAGTTTTGAGTATCAATGAAGCTCATAAAACGTGAAATTTACATCAGATTCCACTCAGACCTCTGGTGCATCTCAATATTTCCAACAACACTCATTCTGGTATCTCCCCCACAAAGGGTCGAAATTTAGAATATTTGTGAAGGTCATGCAACGTGGAATTAACATCTGATTCTATTCAGACTTGGTACATCTCAATTTTCAAGATCCGTTATAAAAATGGTAGAGATCGGACTATTTCTTCTGGTACCTCCCCCACATAGGGTTCAAGATTTTAAACAAAACGCTCAAAGAAAGCAAAAAAAAGCATCCTCTTCATACTAATATTTTTGCTAACGCAAGATCTGTTGTAAGGATATCTGCCAACCCCTTCTGGTACCCCACTCACAAAGGGTCGCTATTTCCAATATTAATATATGTCTTAACTTGCGAGATAAGACGGCGATTCTTTTCCTGAAATGTGATATGAATATGTCATTTATCGGCATTTATGATTTCGCATTGAATTGGATACAAATGTTCGATTCGAATTCCCATTATTACAAAATTCCAAAAATTTCGATTTCAGTTCGTTTTATTTTCCTTATTCCGATTTTATTTAAATTCGTAATACACAATTCAACAAATAACTTGTGATAAAAATACGGCAAACTTTGGTCTTGACAAAGTTTTGCACACATTTTTAAACAGTTGTGGGTGGCAAATAAGCGGAGGCCTTGTTGCCAGAGCTGCTAGAGGTGCCAAAGCTACTGCCGCCCAAAGAAGAAGAGCCACTGGTGCCGAAAGAACCACTGCTGCCAAAAGAGCCACTGGAGCCAAAGCTACCACTGCTACCAGCATTGCCGCCATCACCCAAAATACCAACCACCGATTGTTGGGGAGCAACACCGGCATCGGTGTGTTCAGAGCTGCCTTCGATTTTGTCGTATTCGGCTGAAAAGGAAAGATTTTCATTGAATTCGAAATATTTTTGGTATTTTTGTCTTAACCTCACCTTGAATTTGTCTTTGGGCATGTTGGGCCTCTTCCTCGGTCTTGTATTTGATGAAGAAGATTTCTGGCTTGCTGGGCACTGTGGGAGCTGGGGTGGCAATGTCACTGACCTCCAAATTGTTATCGTTCTTCGAGAGTACATAAATGACTGTCTTTTCTTCTTTGGGAGCATATTCGGCGGACAATTTAACATTGGCATTGCTCGATGAGGGAGCCTTAATGAAGACAACACGATAATTCTTTTGGGGACGGCCAATAACCAAATGTTTGGTCATTTCCAAATTTTCATTGTCTTCGGGGGCGGCAACGGTAATGAATTGTTTGTGCACCAAGGGAGCCTCAAAACCTTGGCTGCCAGCCGAGCTGGAACCAAAGGAAGCACCGCTGGAGCCAAAGCCGGAGGAGCCGCTGGAACCGAAGCCAGAACCAAATCCTATGGAGCCAGAACCAAAGCCTGAGGATCCAGAACCAAAGCCAGATCCAAAGGAGGAACCTGAGGAACCAAAGCTGCCGCCTCCCACAGACCCAGAGCTAGAGCCAAACGAGCCTCTTATTCCCAGGCCACCAAAAGAAGATCCTCCTCCAATCGAGGAAGAGCTGGGGAATTTTATGGCTCCCGAGGAAGAAGAGCTGCCAAAGGTACCGGATACACCACTGCCATAGTTATATTGGGGCTTGGCCAAAGCCACAGCGGCCAGACAAGAAAGGACCTAAAAAAATATGAGTCCTCATCACGTTTTATCGAATTCTTTATCTCTTTAAAAATAATTACCACAAACAAACGCATTTTCTGATATTTTTTTTTCGTTGAAACACTTTTTGCTTCGGAAACTCCTCACTGCAAACTGATGCTGCACCTTGCGATTTTGGTGATTTTTATATAAAAATAATAAAACCTTCCCCAAACTTGGCTGGCTGTCTGACTGGCCAATCAATAATCACAATTTTTTGATAAGATTTAACGCATCAAGAAGCCACCTGTCAATCATTCTTTTGTCGATTTTCTATCTCCTCCTCTTCCATGGCTGCGGGAAGCTGCAGCCATTGTCATTTTCTAACGAGATTCTCCCCAAATTTTTCTTAGTCAATATTCAGCTTCTAATTCAGAAAACATGACATTTCTTGTATTGCTGCTGCTGCATACCAGCTAAACTGGTTGCTTCTATTTTTCCCAGGCCATGTTCTTGACTTCTTGTTCTTGTTGTTGTCGTCGTCTTCGTTGTTGTCTTCTCGATTTTTGTTGTAGCCACATCAGCTCTGCGGCTAATTATGGTTTCTCACCGCAAATTCTTTTGCGGAAATATGCGTTTCCTTTAATTGTTACTTCGAAAATCACACCTTCTTCTTTGTCTTTTTCGTACAACAACATTTTTAATTCGACCTTTAATGTCAACAACAACATCAACAGCTATAATTATTGTATTTGTCTTTTCATATTAATAACATAATTAATATAAAATCTGAAATGTGTAAACAAACGAAAGATACGAGGTTCGGTGGGCATGTCATGCAAAAACTGCTGCACAGTGGGTGCAATGAAATAAAAATTAACAAAAAGGTTATACCTCATCTCTAGGTTAGCATCAGAGGACATGTGCCTATAGATACAAAGGGGCTAATTTGGAGCAAATGTGTTATCCCCTCAGTTTAAATTGGGATGAATTTTTATACCCTTCGCCATTAAAAAAAACTGCAAAAACTGATGCTTTTAAAACAGCAACATCAGCAGAAATGGTTCGAAAAGTAAAGAAGCGACCTGATCGAACCCGCGTCGCAGTGCCCGAAAAATGGCTCGTGAGCAGAACATATCGCAATATTCCACCGAACTTACACCGCAACAGAAAGAAAATAGATTCAAAAGAGCTAAAGAGTTGCTTCGCTTGGCCGAAAGTGGCGAACTGCCGAATTTGGTTTTCTCCGATGAGAAAACATTCGTTGTCCAGCAATTTGTAAACAAACAAAATGGTCGTAGTTACTTGCCAAAGAGGTCAGCTGAAAATGTGCACCTTCGGTTGGCCAACAGAAATCAAGCACCGGCCGCCATAACAACCGATGTTCGCTCTCCGCTCGTATTATCGACCGTGTCATCAGAATATATACAAATCTAAACTTATTCAAAAATTTGATGCTATTTTGCATATTAGCTTGCATTGTATGTCGGAAGTAGCATTAAATTTTAGAATAATTGGCCTTCAAAGGACCAATTAAACCGTCACACGCTTCCCGAATGTTGCTGTACGGTATTTTGGCCCATTCCCGGCGAAGCGCTTGCTTCAGGAGATAGACACTTTGATATTTTTAGTGCCAACCTTGCCTTCCAAAATACTCCAGGCACAATAGTCCAAGGATTGGTATCCGGAGATTTTGGTGTCCATTGTGCGTTGGCCACCAAAGCGAGGAACCTCATTTTGTAACCATTCTTGGGTGGCGCTGAGACCCGTTGGTGGTGCTGAGACCCGTTGGAATGTCCAAGGTCTGCGGCCAAAATGTTTGCGTGCCCAAGGCTTTAATACACCTTCCAGAATATTTTCGCGATAATATTCGGCATTTATTCTGATGCCACCACCATCGATTAATACGAGCGGAGAGCGGCAATCGGCTGTTATGGCGGCCCACGCCGTCTCCATTGCCGGTGCTTAAGTTTTGGTGGCCAACCGGTGCAGGTGCACATTTTCAGCTGACCTCTTTAGCAAGTAAACACGATCATTTTCTGCTGGACAACGAATGTTTTCTCATCGGAGAAAACCAATTTCGGCAGTTCACCACTTTCGGCCAAGCGAAGCTACACTTTACATCTTTTGAATCTATTTTCTTTCTGTTGCGGTGTAAGTTCTTCCAATTTTGGAATTTCAATGGCTTTACCCCGAGCCCATTTTTCAATATTTGCCCAATGGAATATTGAGATATGTTCAGCTCACGAGCCAATTTTCGGCCACTGCGAAAATTTTTCGAACCATTCCTGCTGATGTTGCTATTTTCTTCGTCCACTTTCTTGACGTTGGGCTACGCTACCAGTATCAGGGTAACGATGCCGGAGTGCTCTAACGATAACCACCAGCGGGTTTCCAGCCAAATATAAAGAAATCACACTATAACGCTTGAATTCCATCACGAATAACTTTTTTTCTGGAACATTCTCACCAAAATGCTTTTGTACGCTTGTAAACAATATAATGAGCTGTCACTGGATTAAGTTTAACAGGTGTCGGACGAGTGGCTTAGAAATGACAGTTGTCTGAAGATGGTTGCAGTTTTTTCATCTCACCATGTATATCATTTGATGCGGCCAAAATGTGTCTGATCGAAATAACATTTTTAGACCCTGGGGTCGAACTAGCGATGTCCGTCTGTCTGTCTGGCTGGCGCAATACGATAACTCTCGAAGGTAGTATTCAAACTTGGTGTATTGTAATATTATTACCAAAATGTCAAAATTTTCAAAGAAAATAATTTACTGCACAGAAAGAGAAAGGGAAATTCGAAACCAACTTTGTAAATCCTAATATTTGCATCAGTGTTAGGGCAGGTGCGAAAATGGCCAATATCGGTCCACTCCATCAAGTATCTCATCCAAATGGTCAAGTTTTCAATATTTATAATTCTGACATTTAATCTTTTTATTGTTGTTTTTAAAAACAAACAACGTTCGTTTATTAGTAGAGAACGATGGTAATGTTTACCAGGGGGTAAGGCAGGGAATACCTAGGTTTCGGAAAGAGCCACCAATCCTCATCAGTTCAATTTGTTTTTGTCTGGGATATTCTCCCCAGAAGTTATTTTAAAAATAACTTCTATGACAAAAAACTTTTTAACCCAAGTGACGAGATCGTAAGCTCAATAGAAGAGGTGTGAAAATGAGATTTATCGGTCCACTCCTTCTGGTACCTCCCCCAATAAAGGTCAAAACTTCGAATATGCATAAAGCCCATAAACCCCGAACTTAACATTCGATTTCATTCAGACTTGATACATCTCAATATTTCTATCAACTCAAGATCTGTTATAAAGATGGTAGAGATCGGACCATTCCTTCTAGTACCTCCCCACAAAGGGTCATAGTTTTGAATAACCAAAACGAGCATCCGATTCTCTTCAAATTACACACTTAACCATATTTTTATTTACCCAAAGTCTCGCGTGAAGTCGGAATATATCGGTCCACTCCTTCTGGTACATCCCCTACAGAGGGTAAAAATTTTGAATAGAGATGAAGATCGTAAAACGCGAAATTAACATCTGATTTCATCCAGACTTGACACATCTCAATATTTACATAAATACGATATCCGTTATAAAGATGGCACAGATGGGACCACTTCTTCTGGTATCTTCCGTACAAAGGGTCCACATTTTGAATAACCAAAACGATCATAAAATCCGAAATAAGCACCCGTTTCTCTTCAAATTACGCATGTCACAATATTTTTATTAACCCAAGGTCTGGTGTGAAGTCCAAATATATCGGTAGAGGTGGAGATCGTAAAACGGAAAATTAAAATCCGATTCCATTCAGACTTGGTACACTTCAATATTTCTATCAACTCAATATCTGATATGAAGATGGTGGATATTGCAACATTTCCTCTGGTACATCCCCCACATAGGGTTCAAGATTCTGACAAGCAAAAAGCTCAAAAAAGTAAAATAAGCATCCAACTCTTTTCAAATTTCACACATACAGACATTTTCGCTAACACAGGATCTGTTGTGAAGACGATATATATCTGCGAACCCCTTCTGGTATCTCACCCACAAAGTGTCACAATTTTGAATACTTTTATAGAAAGAATATTTTATTTCACATTTTAGTACGGAATTTACATAACTTATATAATAGCTGATTTTCTGTATATTTGTGCTTCATTTTTTTACCGATCATTAATACTAGTTTACTCGTTTTCTTTACAGGTAAGCGTTTGCTCAAAAGTCAATTGCAATAAAATTGTGTAAGTATTGCTAGTAAATTTATTCTAAATGTTTCCACAATAGCTGGAAGTAGCTACGTTTAGAATAGATAGATTTTTTCGATAAAAAATAAATTGAAATGTACATCAATGTCACTTGCCGGTTAATTAATAGAAACAAGTTAAAAAGTATCAGTCGGGGTTTTTATTAAAATATATTTTTACTTGTGTTCACTCCCATTATGAGGAAGTTAACAAAGGGAGGAGTCTCAAAATTACGAAACATGAATTTTGGAATACATCGACTACTTCCTCCATTTTAACGTTCGTGACGGAGGTACCAAAAAGAGTGGACCTAATATTCCATTCTCCAATACTGATGAAAACATTGGGATGAGCAAAGTTTACTTTCAATTTTATGCAAATTTTGATATTTTTTTAGATAGGTTGGTAGATATTGTTCCACTCCATCTGATACCCCCTACAAAGGAGTCAAAATTTTGAATAGCCATGAAGCTCGTAAAACTCCAAATGAGCAGCTGATTAATCACAAACTCGGCACATCTCAATATTTCTATTAACACAAGATCAGATGTGAAGATGAAATATGTCGGACCTCTTCTTCTCCCCCACTACGGTTCTACATTTTGGATGACTGTATCTTTCATAAAATACAAAATAAGCATCCGATTCTCATTGAATTTCACACATCCCAATATTTCTACTGACACAAGATTTGCTGTGAAGATATATCGGCCCATTCTTTCCCCCACCAACGTCACAATTTTCAATATTTACATACCTCTCATAGCATACGAAACAAGTCTGCGATTCTTTTAAAATTTGGTATGTCTTAGATATTTCTCTCAAACAGAAATCTGAT